GTGGGTGGGTGGGCGGGGGCATTTGATGGTGTTTACATGTTAACCGCCTGAGTTTTTCTCAGGTGGCGCGGACTGTTGATCGGCTTGGTGGGTAGGTTGGGTTGGCTGGTTGGTCGGCAAACCGGTGACCGAGGTGTCTGAAGAGGCCAGAGGGGTCGTAGGGTGTGCATGACTTGAAGCCAGGGCGCCGCATGCACCCCCACGGATCGCGCCAGATCAGATCACACTGAAACCAATCATGCCGCATCACCCCGCCCACCTGCGTGCCCTTGATGACGACCGTGTGGGCCGGCAGGTTGACGCCCCAAGCCAGGGTGGCCGTGCAGCACAGCACCTGGGGGCGCGACGGGTGGGTTTTAATACTGCATTGATGAAATGGTCTGCTTGGGCTGCTTGGAGGGGCTATCCCAGCAGTTCCAGATGCCTGGATGGGCTCCTCAGCTGGAAAAACGTGTGAAGCGGAGACCACGCGTGCGCAAGCGGGGCAGGCGCCACGCGCTATCAGTCACAAACCCCACCTGACACCAGGTCCACAGACAGCACCATGCATCTTTCAAACCCACGATTCTGAATAAGCAATCACCCCTTTAACACCACCAACCCCCCCCAAACCACACACCTTGATGATGCCGTCTGAGAAGAGGCGCTCCGTGAGGCTCCTGTCGCCGCGCAGCATGCCGGCGTGGTGCAGCCCCATGCCGCTGTCAAACAGCTCCGCCAGCTCACGGTTGCGCGACCTTTGGGGGGGGGGGTGTGGGGAGGGCAGCGCAAAGTTGTGTTTTTGCAACGGGCAAGGAGGGAATGAGATCCCCAAAGAGCAATAACAGTGTGCAGATGATGAGTTCATGGAAATGCATACAAGTGAGCACACACACACACAAACACACACACACACACACACACAAACAAACAAACACACACACACTCACAAACACACACCGGCACACATCACCCGCCCCCACCCGATGGTACCCGTCCGGCTCACTTGCGCACTTCCTTGAGGGCCATGCCGTACTGGGGGTGGTCGTCACCCAGGAACAGGGCCTCCTCACCATGCTGGGGGGGAGGGGGGAAGGGCAGCAGGGCAGAAGCAGGGCTGTTTGTTTGTGTGTGTTTGTGCGGGTGCATGTGTGTCAGGGGCTTGTATTGAGCATGGCGGGCTCCACAGTGCTGCCGGCTAGGAACTGGGACATGATGGGTCAACCCATGCATGGCCTCCCTTTTGGCTCGCCCCGCCCAGATGCCACAACCAAGCAGCAAAGAACCTTTGCCGTGCCGAGCGAGCTCATGCGGCGCCCGACACGCATGGCCCAGGAGCGCGTTTAAGCGAGCCTGCTTCGCCCTGCAAGGTCGTCGGTGCCCCTGGCCAGCGCCCACCTTTGCGGCCATCTCCGCCAGCACGCGGCCGGTCTTCCCGGTCTCCTTGCGGCTGTGGACGAACACCATCACCTGCTTGCCGCGCTTCAGGGCGTCCACCACCTTTCAAAATTCGAATTTGCAGGGGGGGAGGGGGCAGGCGGACGCAACAGGGGCGTATCGTTGGGGCCCGCAGTCCGCGTCTTGCGTTTCGCACCGCGCCGCCTCTGGCCCGAGTCTGTAAGCGCCGCCGCCGCTCCCAGCAGCCAGGCGGGGCGGGCGTAAGCACGACAGGGCGGCGCGCGCAAGGCGCCGCGCACGCCTTCGCGCCCGCTGTCGCCCCCCTCCCCGGTCCAAAAACAAATCAGCACACACCCCTGATAGCACGCAGACCTCACCCCTCCATCGCTGCGCCCTCCCCCAAGACTGGCCCTCCCTGCACCCACCCCCCCCCCCACGGCGCACCTTGTTGTAGCAGATCTCGTTCATGAGGTTGGTGCGCGCCGCCATGTTGGTCACGCTGACACCCAGGAACTCCATCGCCAGCGGGACAGGCCTGAGGGGGGGGGACGGAGGGGCAAACGATGGAGGGAGGCGTCTGGGCGTGTGGCAAGCACGGATGTCTGGCGTGGGCAGGCCCTTAGGAATGATCTTGTCCGATTGGCAGCAGCCTGCAGTGGCCCAAGCATCGGGACCCTTAAAGTGCTGGCGCAAATCATCATCTCCCCTTATGATCCCTGGCCGCCGCTCATATACCTCCGCGTCCTGCTTTCCTCTGTTCCCTCAACACGCAAGCGCACACACACACACCCTCTCGTACCCGCGCACACACACACACACACACACACACACACTCTCTCTCTCTCTAACACGCACACACACCTCAATACTCACATCCCGACACATGCACACACACATCCCATAACACACGCACACACACGCAACGCAACCCCTTCGCTCCTGCATACTCCTGGCAACAATTCATGAGCCTCCCCCCAAGAGCACGTCACGCCACGCCACCCGCCTGAACTCGGGCCCGAAGTGGAAGAGGCCGCTGGGGGCCACCCTCAGGAATGCCCCCACGTCCTTGTAGTTTGGCAGCGTGGCGCTCAGCCCCACCACGCGGATCATGCTCTGGCTGGCCTCGACCTGGGGGGGGGGCGGGGTGGGGGGGGGCCTGGTTCATGAATAAGTGTGGATGTGTTGGCGTGCAATAGGGTGTGGAG